TGTTCAAGCCAGTCTCGAATATACAGTAAATTGAATGGACTGATGCCTATCAGAAAACAACTACTTCTGATAGGCGTCACTCCATTCAACCTACTGTGTAGGTATATTTAATAATAATAATATGCTTTATTTGTCTTATTGACAAAGCTGCAAGTTTTCATCAGACAAACCAAGATACTTATATGTTATTCTCACTGCAAAACACCCTGAAGCTAGCTTTTTATTGAGGGTTACAATGTGATTGGCGAATTTGAGTTTATTGTCAATTATTACCCCCAAAAATTCAATACTAGATCTGTTTTCAATTATCCTGTCCGCGTCCTGTATTGGTAAAGGAATGCTGTTGATGAAGCAGCGGAATAATATTAAATTTGTTTTGGAAACATTGAAAAACAGCAGATTAGAGTCGCACCACTTTTTTATTTTTTTATATCTGCACTTATATTCTCGTGTAGATTACATAAAGTTTTATCACGCCAGAATATTGTGGTATCATCAGCAAATAGGGCCAATTTTTCTTTTATATCGATAGATGCTAAATCGTTTATGTATAGCAAGAAAATTATCGGTCCCAATATTGAGCCTTGTGGTACGATATTTTTTATTTCGCCTCCTGCTGAGGCTGATGAGGTTTTCACAATCTGACTTCTTCCTGTGAGATAATTTTCGAACCACTTTTAAGTAATTCCAGGGATGCCATAGTGATATAGTTTTTTCAGTTTTTTCAGCAGTATTCCATGATCTACACAGTCAAAGGCTATAGAAAAGTCACAGAACACTGCTACTGATGACTCTTTTTTATTAATATTTCCATAAACGTCATATAACAGAAAATATAGCATCATGCGTGTTCTTTTTTGATTGAAAGCCGAACTGGTTGTTGCTTATGACACTATTATTATTTGAAAAAATTGTCAATCTTAATTTAACCAGCTTGCCTAGAGTGGGAATGAGACATATAGGACAGATGTTTGAAGGATCACCATCTTTGGAAACTCCACACATTCGACGATGATTCTGAAACAGAATCGAACGGTCATGAAGAGAAGAAAAAACAGGACGAATCTCATAGCCAGGAAGACGTGAGACATCTGAGGAAGTAGTCTCGAAGATGGGTGACAATTCTCTTCCTGTTCCGGTAATTCTAATTACCTAGAGAGTTTTATATCTATAATACAATGTCCGTTTCTAAGAAAACAAATTCACTAATGGTGATCTATTTAAATCCAGTAAAATGTTTGCATTTTTGAGTTAGTTGATTTTCATTGCTTTCTGATAATTAGGCTTTGAACCTCCATTTGCTATGTGTAAAATTTCAAAATCTCCGTTGAAGATATGATTTTCTTCTAAAAGATGATTTGTTCATAGTTCATATGATGTTCTTGGATGCTATTCCTGAATGTTCTGCTAGTTCTACCAATATATATCTTAGGACAAGTTGCACAAATTTATTTATATACTCCTGATTTCTCGAATTTGGATGGTTTGTTTTTATTACTTTCAACTGACGTTCAACTGTTCTATATGCAATTTTAATATCTTGTTTATTCAAAAATGAAGTCACCTTTTCTGTTAACTTCATTCATTCATTCAAAAAACACTTCATTGTGAGATTTAAACCAAACCAATGGCTTCTTCGGGAGTGTCTTTACTAACTATATTCTACATTTTCAATGATTTATATACCTAATTTTACAATCTGAAGGGCCTTTATTTCAAGTACCTGAGTTTAACCTGGGTTTGCAATGAATTAAATTACCTTAGCTTATGTCCCAGTTTTCTCATTTGAAAAAATATTTAGTAATTTTGTTTTTATTACTTTCAACTGACGTTCAACTGTTCTATATGCAATTTTAATATCTTGTTTATTCAAAAATGAAGTCACCTTTTCTGTTAACTTATTCAAAAAACAAAAAACCAATGGCTTCTTCGGGTGTGTCTTTACTAACTATATTCTACATTTTCAATGATTTATATACCTAATTTTACAATCTGAAGTACCTTTATTTCAAGTACCTGAGTTTTACCTGGGTTTGCAATGAATTAAATTACCTTAGCTTATGTCCCAGTTTTCTCATTTGAAAAAATATTTAGTAAATTCTGATTCATCATTCAGTAAATCACCCGAATTCTTGAATCTATTGATTTCTAAACATTCTAGAAGATTGAGTTTCAAACTAGTTTCTTCTAGATGTAACACGTCGTATTAATGATTGAACGTATGTCCTTCTGCTAAAAGGTGGTTTGCAAATGTGGAGTTGGTCTTTATATTTTCAAAACTACTTCTATGCTCTTCAATTCTTTGGGAAAATGTTCTTCCTGTTTGGCCAATATACAGTTTTGGGCAAGAGCCACAACTCAGCTTATATACTCCTGATTTATCCGCTACTGAAGTTTTGTCTTTATCGTTTTTGATAAATTTGCTTAGACCACTATTCGTTCTATCTATAAGCTACGTTTACGCATTTTTTTTAAAAAATGAGCAATATTATTGGTGGGCTCACCCAAATATGACATTGAGAAGTAGACAAAATTTGCGCTATTACACTTGCTTGTTAGCGGACTTTCACTGAAAATATATTGATCCTGAATTCTCTTGATAGATATTTGTAAAGAGAAGCTAATAATGTATTTTTACATAAATCAAATACTTTTATTTCAAATCGTCATAAAAACTTCTATGAACTGAATATGAATATAATGAATTTATATTTTGATGATATAATAAATAATAGCTGAAATGAAAGTGGGGATATAGAACATCCTCAGGTACGTTCTAAAGTTGATTGCATGTATTCGTAACTTGATCTATCACATCCATTTGTTAGCAATATCAACGCTAATGTTGCCACTAATCATTGTTGATATTTGCAGCGGTTGTCGTGAGATGAACGTGAGAAATAAAGGACTCTTTTGATATATCACGATTTTATAGTTGAAGTCGCATAAATTTCAGCGAGAATCTCTATTTACGTTTGTTTGTTTTCAGAAGGATTACGGAAACTTGCCAAGTTGATCTGTCATTTGTTAATCGTGGAATACACAATCCAAGGAATTTCGAATCTTGTTCATATTCATTTTATTTCATAGATATTGAATCATATACCTTAATCATTCGTGAAATTACTAATCGATTTCAATTTGAATTACTATGAGATTTTTTTGAACATGGCTTTCACTCAATAGCATTCGGTAATTTTTCAAAAGTTTATTGTCTAACGATAAAAGCATAATAATGACTGTCAGAAAAGAGAAGACTTACTCACGTGACTTCATCAAAAAAATATTCAATCCAGTCCATATCTAGAAACAATAAAAATAAAATATATGGGTGTAACCTCCCAAGATGAGATAGTAATGGATTCTCAGAAAGTCGTCAACGAATTGAATCGAACCTAGAAAATATCATCTCGCCTCTTCCGCTTGAATGTTACACAGGTATACTGATTTCAGTTCACTCCCCTAGATGAATTTCCCTTAGATATCGACAAAATCATGAAATCTTCTGTCAAAGAAAGACCAAAGACTACAGAATACAGACTACAGACTATAGAATACAGAATAGTATTCGGTAAACTTTGGAAAGACTAGCTTCACCTTCATACATTCCTGATAGAATGCTTTATCATTGAACGAAAAACAGATGTTCAGAAAATTGAATCAGTCGATTCAATGGCCTGATAAAAACACACAAAGAGGTAACCCCATAATACCGGTAGTTTCGTATATAAATAGTCCGGTGAGAGAACTAGGAATACGTCTTGACAAGTTGTTCAAAATTATTACCGATTTCGTCCCACCTCACAGCATTAAAAATTCACTGATTTTAGTAGAAAACATACGGAACCAAACCACGCCACATAATTCAATTTTACTTTCATTCGATGTAAAGAGTATGTTCTGCAACATACCGTACAACGGGTCTAAGCCCCTCATTTCAGATCTATTAGATCAAGCCAAAGTAGATAGACCATATCAACAGCATTCGATGTGTGCCTAAATCAGAGCTACCTACAAATGTTCTAAACAGGATTCAGGTGTACCAATTGGCTCATCCCTTAGTCCACTTTTATCAGACATATTCATGAACAGCTTGAAGAGCACTGTAATAAATGCCTACCAGGGTAAAAAACATATTCATTTTTGGTACATATATGTAGATGATATTCTCGCCAGTTTCAGAGGTACTACACGCAAGCTAAACCAATTTATGACATTCATGAATAATCTCAATAGCAACATTCAGTTCACACTCGAAACAGAGATAGAGAAACAGATAAATTTCTTAGACCTGACCATTACACACAATCAGCATAAATCACACAATCAGCATTAATTTGAGTTCAATGTTTTCAGAAAACCTAGCTATACAGATCTTACCATCCCAAGCGATTCTTTCCATCCAGACAGTCATAAATTAGCAGCCTACAATTCAATGTTGCAAAGAGCATTCTCACTGCCTTTGTTTGCTAACAATCTAGCTAGGGAAATTGATATATTTACACAGATAGGTCATAATAATGGTTTCGAAGCAGATACTATCCAGAAGTTAGTCAGAAAATAAAGCCGTAAATTCACTTACAGATTAATATACCTTCAGGTCAAACAACCAGAAATCAAGAAATGGGTATCTAACATAATTTGGAAAAAGAACAGAGATAATTGCGGGTTTCTTCAGAAAAAACAATGTGGAAGTTGAATTCAGACCACATGCCAGGCTATCTGATTTCCTTTTCAATGCCAAAGATAAGGTGGACAAGTTGGAAAAATCTGGAGTTTATAAGTGTCCGGAGTGTGATAGTGTTTATGTGGGACAATGTGGTCGAAATTTCCAAAAACGGTATGCAGAACATGATACGAAAATTTTCCACTATGCAATCCTTGGAAATTCACAAGCATAAACATTGCGGGTGCAACCTGTTAAATGATGAAATCGATTTGGTTTACTCACCGGTTTACTCTCATACAAAAGTGAAAGGATTGGGTCTCTTAAGAGCATCATGGAAAGTATTTCTTCAAAGCTCCATGCAGCAGGTTTGGGACATGCTGGTGTGGCAGCAGTAGCAGGAGGTCCAGTTCCAGTGGCAGTTGGAGATGGAAGCGAAATTGACTTTTATGTACGTTATTCCATGGAATGCGTTTCCCCACTGAATATTTAGTTTTGTACTTACAAATACGAGTTCTGGTCATTGTTTTTTTCTGATGAAAATCTCATCTGTGGTTGAAAACTCAAATCCTGTGAAAAAAATTGAAAAAAAACTTGTGCACCATGAACTATAGGTACAATGAAAGACGGAGAGACTATGACAGAGCGTCTCTGGTCCACTTCCCAGGATCAGAAATCCCAATTTCAACACCAGAGTCATGTACAAATTAAAAAAAAGGTCTCCAAAAAAAAGCCCAGGAAGTATTGGCAGCTGGCGAAGGAAGTGGTAGATTTGATTGAGGCTAAATGGGATGTTGAATCGTTTCAAAGGTATCTCCAGAATCACTCATCCAGTAATGCTACAGAAACGACTGGAACCTCAACTACAAAAACTGTAAATACTTCTGGGAGCAAGTTTGGCTTCGAAACATGTTTTTATGATTGAGGCTGCCTCCTTTCCAAACCCCGGGAATCGTACAAAATTTGGCAAAGACTTTGAGACCGATCAGTCCATTAAAACATTGGAGAAACTATTTGATAGGCATATTATGGACGTATGACTTATCAAAAGATTTCTCCATCGGGACCAATATGCGTGCAGGTCAGATATGTCAACTAAAATGTTTCTATATCGACAGAGTATGTTGGAAAAAGTAAAAAGTACTATTTCAGATATTTAGGGCGCATTCGATAGTATGTACTTATAAATAGTCATCAAGGTTTTCAAGAATATGTACTCATTAACAATGATCCAGGTATCGTGGAGGAGAACCAACCACCATATAAGCTGCATGCTTACAGAAAGGTTGACATACAGGATTAAATAAGGGAAACAATAATGACTGATGGGAGTGGCCTTCAGGGGGTTTGTGTTACTAGTGTTATGAAATCTTGTGATGGATGACTTACTATGTTTTCGGACTATATTGGAAATAGAGTACCCAACGATGCTTTTGAATTCTAGACCAGGGCAATGTTCCATGCAACGAGCCCAATCAATCATTCACAAGGAGGGGCAATGTAAAGAAAACATTCATCCAGAGGACATGCTTGAAGAAACACCTGTCTATGTGTGTAGATGAGTCGAAAATCGATCAAATGCATTACAGTTACCTGCTCGGTCAATACACATCCGTCTTCCAAACGAAAATGCTCAGAATATAGTAATTCAAGACCTCAACTAGATGAGCACAGCCAGGCTAAGAGTGACATTGAATCTGATCTGAAAACGCCGCAAAAAACGGAAAAACCTGGTGAACAGGGTTATATTGACTGGATTTCAAGACACTCAGGAATCACAGGTGACAAAAAATCTGGTGGGTGTGCTAGACACGAATCCTCAGCTCCATATACGAGCATTGAACCAGCTTCGGTGCAGTACCCAATCAGGAAATGGGTAAATGACAACAAAATCTTCACTGCCTATGATGAAAAAAGATGGAGCAGTCGATGGTTCAGAATATTCACAGGGCTTCTTCTTGGACACTGTCCATTTCACTTGACTGAAATAAGGCTGCAAAGCAGAAATCTGAACTAAAACCAATGTGATTCGACATATTTTGGGCATATGTGAGGCATTTCAAAAGACTTGAGAGGAGTGAAGTCCCTCGCAACAAAAAAAAACAACCAAAGATGAACCGAGGTCCCCGATTTCTTTTGTCATGATAGACACAATACAATATTCTGAAATGAATATTTTATTCAAATGTGATCAACTCTTTCGTCATTTTAACACTATAGTATAATTATAATGTACTCACTGAAAGACCTTCTTCACATATAGATATAACTCATTTTTCAGGCCCATCCAAAGTACACCTACAACTACGGAGTAGCAGACGGACTCACTGGAGACCAAAAAAGCCAACACGAGGTCCGTGATGGTGGTGTGGTCAAGGGTTCCTACTCCGTTGTGGAACCAGATGGCTCAGTTCGAGTGGTTGATTATGCTGCCGATGATGTTAACGGATTCAATGCCGTTGTCAAAAAAATAGGACCCTCAGTACATGCCGCTCCAGTTCGTCCTGTAGCGATTGGACACGGAGGGGGCTATGGAGGTCACGGAGGATATGCTGGACATTATTAGAATAGGACAGGGATTACTTTGAAAATGTAATTTTACATGAATATATGGTGAAGACAAAAGTTGTAGGAGCGTATACCGATTATCTCTCTAGTTTATATTTTCTTTGTCTCAGATACATTAACTCATTACTTCCGATGTCTTGTGTTTTCAAGTGACTCTTCAAATTCCTTCTTTAAATTGTGATGATTAATTCAAATCTTGAATATTCAACCATGATGTCAGGCTGTGTTGTACTGATGGCATACCTGTATCATAAAACAAATAGTAGGTTATAGATACATATCTCAGAGAATGATGTGTTACCTAACAAAGCTTGTAATCACAAGTCCTGTTAGGGAAAAAATATCATTAATATCAAATATTGTAAAAAAATCTCTATCACTTTCAAGGGCATAATAAATATTTGTTTTTTGTGTATGAATGTTATTGTCAAAGTCGCTCTTTTGTTTTATTCTTCTTTCATAAACCTTTTCAACTGAAATGTTTTCTATCTCAATCATAATATCAAGTAAACTATATTTAGTGCAATGCTTCGCTATATTTTTCTTGCGACAATAAATATACTGTCAGGTTCTGATTCTGTATACTTTTATATATATTTTACCTCATGTATTTAGTTTAATTTCCATACGCTACTGCAAAAGTAAGATTAAGACAGAAACGTCAGTGAGATCTGAGATTTTAGTGACTACTATTTTGGAATTATAGTATAATTCATTGAGAACCAATGGACCAAAGTTGAGTATTCGAAATTAGATGCCAGCGCCATTGTGGCGAAAGTGCAGAATACAGATGTCTACATTGATTCTAAGTTATAGTTCAATTATATCTTAAAACCAGTGGGTTTTGAGTCTCCTATTTCAAATAGTTCAACTATATTATTGTTTTTTCTCTGTGAACATTCTAGACAAGAGATTTGTGTATACGAGTATATTTAATGCAAATACTTCTTTCGTATGTTGTTTATCAACATATACTTCTTGGTGTCTTACTTGACTTGCATTAATATTTTTATAGTATATAATAATTTCTGTTGATTATTTGGCCGTATTGGTTGGTAATTGGTTTAATGAGTTTAAGGTGAGTGAGTTTAGAGTAATGCGTAATTCAGATTTGCCTGAAGTGAATCCTTTTTGTTGAAATGGCAGAAGTAATAAAGACAACTCCCCTAACTTTCAATATATTTACCTAGGACTTTTGTTTATCTAGAATCTACACAGTCTTTCAATCATTAAATAGTTTCTACATTAACTATAACTTGAGGTTATCGTGAAAAACCATAACTCACATTGAGGGACAACTCGATTCCGAATCGGCCAAATTCATTTGAATCCAGAAGAAATGATAAACGACAAATCATCACGAATTGACTTGAAGAATTAATATCATAACAGTGTCAAAAATACAAATATATTTATGACTACCAAGATAAACAAAGTACCTACTTGTCTCTAGTTCACAACTTTGACACCAGAAGGCATATCCGCTTATTTTGTATTCCATAACCTTTTAAACAAAATGGTATTTATTCCACATAGTATTTTTGTAGATACTCAAAAAAACATCTGTTAAAAAAAAATCTGGTGAAAACGTGTGCCTCTCGGGACGCCCAGTAGAATTGATAACTTAAACTAATCTAAGTTGAACTAGTACAATTATTAGTATCACAACAGTATATGTCGATCGCACACTGAATACTAAGCGCTGTTGGTTAAAGTGCGGAAAAAGGAAATCCAGGCAGACTGACGCCGTTACACGTTATGAAAAGAAGCGGTTTACCCTTCCATAAGAAGTTATCACTTCAGAATTGTCAATTTTCACAGGAAATGACTGACAGTTGGTGGCATGTTATTTTTGGTCTGATTCGAAGCACAAATAAAGACCAGGGTTTAATTTCTTGTAAATCTGTAGAACAGTCCCATATGTTGAGAACTTTCATGGTAACACTGTCTATTCAATGGAGGATGAATCATTCTAGAATAGTATAGTTTGAAATTGACTCGTTTCAGAATGAAATTATGAAATATGTATTATTTTTTTTGGGGTCATCGGCATCGACTGCATTGGTCATTAACCTTGTGTTCTGAGTAGGCGATATTAATAACTCCTTGAGCCACCCTGGGAGCATCATGGCTTTTCGTAGTCCGTCAGCTATGTTACGTTACAGAATCATACCAATTTCAACTAGAAAAATTCTCCTGAGAAAAAAATATGTATTATTCTTAATATTTGTGGTCACAAATGTCCTAACTGATAAAAGAATAATACATGAAAGACAATACTCATGAAATTTTTGAATCAAAAGTTGGATACCAAAATGAATGATCAAGTTTATTCCTTTATCAAGTGCCAATCATTCTATCTACAAACCCAATTATTACCTAATAATGGTAACCAAAAATACCGAGTTAGGTGTGAAGACATTGAAACTAATTGTAAAAACATACTGTTGAAGGTTACTGACATAATTCCCACAACAATGAATGAATTGCTACATTTCTTCCATAACGACTTATTTCTGTTTATGAACTGTTCGCATTGTCTGTGACGTTCATTGATACAAACATTATGACAAATTTTGTTGAAAATAACTACTGGAATTTACAGAGTTTCATTCAATTCATTATGCCATATTGTAACAACAATGCTTTTTTTTCGTAACGTCGCAATGCATAGAGAGCAAGATGATTGGAAAAATCACACCAATAGTTTAAAATAGTTTTTGCTGTGACTTGATGACTCAACAATGAGAATGGGTAACATTTGGAAATGAAAGACTTTTGTCTGGAATAAAGTTGTCGTTGTGAATAAAATCCTTTCAATTGTCCTCTTTTACTAGAGGATACATGTGCTTGACGGTTTTAATGAAACATTGCGTAAATGAGCAACAATAAACGACAAATATTCCTAGAGAAATATTTCTAAACTCAAAACATGAACGAAATAAACGAGACCTATGTCTTAAACATTTTGTTGTCACTATTTTTTTGTCTTTGAGGACAGAACACAAGCACTACAGGAAAATCCACCGCTCTCAGAGCGGTGCCTATGCGAAAGTAGCGATTTTCATTGGATTTGAATCGCTGAAGATTGAATCCATTTGGGAAAACGTCCTCAGGAAGTTTATTCCATATAGACGCAGTTCTCCAGATGAAACAGTTCTTAAACAGTGAGGTTTAAGATGTACTGAGTTGAACCTCAAAACGATGGGCAGCCACATTACGTCGTGTATTTCTGATATATACCTCTCTCGGTGGAATCAAATGTGTCAAGTCACTTGAACTCCTTCCGTGAAAGTATCTATAGAAGAGAGACAAATCTCCAACCTTTCTTCGATGTTCCAGCCTATCAAGATTGCACATGATGTTCGCGACCCCAATCAGGCGGATGGCTCTTTTCCAGATCAAATCCAGCAACTTCAGGGCATGTTTGGGGGCAGAGCTCCATTCATGAGAACAATACTCCAAAGAAAGTCTAATCTGAGCTTTATGAAGCATCAAAAGTTGCTCAGGTGTGTACAGTCTTCTGGTTCGGAACAGTGTTCCAACCTTTTGAGAAGGAGCCTTTGTTATTCAACGATATGTTGTGCCAAGACATATTGATGTCCATTTTAACCCCCAACAAACTTATTGAAGCAGAAAGCGGAATTGTCTGACCTGACATTATTATATCTGAATAATTTTTTTCGAGATCAATTGCTCTAACACCAAACTGATATTTTTGCACTCGGCGCGCGTTTCGCCAACAAAGTTAATATCCTCAGAAGAAGAAAATTGAGGATCAAGATAGAATTGTCAGGACAAGGTGATATGTGAATTATAAATCAATCGAACGCAACGTTAACATATAATATTAACAACACCAACAAAAACGAACAAACAGAAAATAGTGAAACCTCGTAGCGAGGAGAATAAAAATTAGGATTCGCCCGACCGGAACCCCAGAACAAAATAAATCAATCCCTCGGTTTTCAAATGTTTCTCAAGTCCCTCTCAAAAATAATCGCCAGTGACAATTTGGTCGGGGTCATAAATATATTCACAGAAGATTAACCACTTGGACATAAAAAAATCTTACCCAAGTGGCATCTGTCATTCTAAAATATCCGTGTGTTTTTCGGCAATAAACTTCGGTTCGAGAGAAGAGAATATTTCAATGATCTGCCAAGAAAAAAAATAAACATATGGAGTGAAAATAAAATGAAAGGAATTCACATAAAGAAACCCAAGCAGATGAATATTTTGTCCAACTGCTCGGTAATATAGTTATGAAAAGTTAATTTCCTAACATGCAATTTATAATACAAAAAATAAAAATCAATAAGGGAATGAAATGTTTCTAAAGTAAATAGTTGTAGGAAAACTCATACAGAAGGTAACCAGCTGATCTTTGTTCCCGAAAGCCATAATGATGATCGCTCAAGATGTTGAAGCCTTCCAAATATTTGAAGATATGGTGGTATACGACTTCTCCATGATTTTTGATATTATTGATAGCGAAGCGACTGGTCTATAGTTATTTGGAAGATTTTTCTTGCCTTCTTTGGGAATAGGCTCTAATCTTTCAATAAGAAGAAATAACAGTTATATTTTTTGAACATTTTGTTGTTACTCATCCAATGAAGAATAGCACTGCCAACATTTACAATTCTGGAAAATACAACAAGTGCCACCGAAATGTTGGCAATTGATTTGCAAAGTAACGGTTTTATGTTGAGTTGTCATAGCTTCAACTTCTATTTATTTCGACCTGAAATAACTGAAACAATAATTGGAGTAGAATTGACTGGTATTCAATGAGAATCCATGAAAAACCTTTGTATTGTATCTTTATATTTCAATAGATGATGCATGCACTTTCAACACATCTGTAAGCTTGGATAGCTCAAGAAAAATCTATTGGGCTAGGTCATGAAAACTATAAGGCTCAACTCCAAATAAATTTTCTGAAGTTTCTGAATAATGAGAATTTATTCGGTTTCATGGAGTGGTATTTTGCTGCACACTGTATAATTTCATGAACACCTACTATAATATGTCCGATACTCCCCTTGTCTTCAATCTCCATTAGCATGACTGTAAATATTATTAATTTTTTGTGTTGAGTACACCGCTTCATATCTATTCATACATTCTTAGTAATTCCTAACAATTATTCGCTCGAAAGAATCTATTTCCTTCATTAGAATATTGACTTGGTGTGTAAATACTCATACTAATGCCTCATTATACACATGAGTTACTGAACTAATATACCTAACTCATGGTCTCATCCAATCGAGGCGGTTTTAATTGTTTTAATTATCATTTCAATTTTTTGAAGCTCTTATTCAATTGAAAAAAGCACTTGAATATATGATAATGTATTGCAATTTATTGTATCACACATATAATGCAAAAAGCTCACTATTTCATTTTACTACGTAGAGAAAAGTTGAAGAAGCTGTTGAATCAATGTCCCAGTATTATTTAATTATATGCGAACACTGTCGACAGCTGGTCGTGCTGTTATCATCTAGGCTCTACTCAAACTGTTTGAGTAGAGGTCTAGATGATGACAGCACGACCAGCTATCGAAATCGCTCGCATATAATTGAGTAGGAGTTATGAAGCTTCAAATCCTTTTTGTGACTTATATTAATATTAACATTTTATAATATAACAGACTTCTCACCTTTCTAAGTGAAACTGAAACATGATTCAACTGAAAACTTTCGAGAAAATATTGTTATTGAAGTTGTGCGACCTTGTGTAGCGACTTACAACACATTCTGGTAGAGTAAGTACAATATTCTTGGTAAAATGGGAGGAGTATATAAACAATGGCGAAGAGAAAAATCAGATTAGTGTGTGAGTGCGTATTTTTTAATACCTTTCGTATTTTGTAACAGTGAAAATGGTGTATGCAAAGGTAATTATCTGAAGTGTGACTGAAACAATGAATGGCCGGAACCGTTTAATGATAATTACAAAATTTTATGATGTGGTAAATTTGTAATAGAGTAGTTTTGCATCGGAATATTATTATCTACTTCAAAGAAACCAAATTTCCCATTTTTCCCTGATCAACGGAAAAACAGATTTTAAACAGATTTAAACATATTTTTCAAGAAAGACATATTCATCTTTGTCCAAGATAAAGACTACATAATGCTTGTAACATTGGTAGGATATACTACATATTTTTTATATTAATATAGCATTTATTGGCTAACAGAAAATTATTTCAAATTCATTGCCTTCTTCCTTTCTTCAGAGTTTTCCAGAGTTTTTTCAAATAAAGATGGAGAAGTAGAAAGCCAAAACCTTTTTTTTGCAAAAATGATTTCGTCTTTAGAGATAAGTATATGATACAAAAAGTTGATCAAACACAAATTTGGATATTTTTGTTTTAGGTTCACTTTTCAACGAATAAATATTTTCTTATATTCTCTATGAATAACTGTCGTTTATCATTTCATCAATTCTTCCATATATTTTATATCTTTATATCACAATAATACTTTATATCAAACTAAATTGTAAGTTCCATCTAGCATCTGCAATTAGAAACTTATACCACTTTTATGTTTTGTATAATTTTTCTCCTGATTTTTATGTTCGCGAGACTCATTACCACATTTTATACATCAAGGACCTTTAGTTTATTGCAGCAAACATCTGTTTTTAGCATATTTTCATATTATATGTGTGTATATATGTACGTATAGATATTTTTATGGGTTTTGAATTATGTAGACTTAGTATGTATGCATTTTTATCTTTGTCACGCTTTGTCAATAATATTCAATAATAATAATATTCTTCTGACAACAAAGCCTATTCATTATTTTTATTATAATTGATTGCTACCGATATATGTAATATCAACTGAAAAGTTGATATTTTCGTTTCACAAAGAACCAACAAAAAACTAGAAACTCCATTGCATTCGTTTTTTAAAGGAATATACAAATTCCAATACCTTTCTTCAGTTTGTAACTATAACCTCGAAACAGTGTAAAATACTTTCAAATTCCATCGTAATTCAAAACTCATAATGGATAATACTAAAAAATACCAAAATTAATATTAAATTCGTATTATTACGTCCGAAAATCAATGAAAGAATATTTATTTTTGCTGTAGATCCTATTTTGATCTTTCAACAATCTCTAACGAACATTGTCCATCTCTTCTGGTGATATATCATTTCCAAAATCAACAATAATTGAAAACTATTTGTGATCCATCATGCTACATAAAAAGTATTTGAAAATATTTGAAGATATTAGTTGAAGAACAAGATATCCTCGATTTGAGTTGATTTTGTGAATATCATAAAATACTCTGCAGTAACCAAATCTGGAAAAACATCAATTCAATTCAATAACATTCCTGATACTGCAGAGTACAAGATGTCTAGAAAAACAAAATACTTGTTGAATTCGTATTCAATTTCGGACTAGAAACTGGAAAAAGCAAATATTTGATATTGCGCTTGACAAAAGTTCACTGGAATCAAATCGGGGGATATAAGTGGCTATGCTGAGGAACCTCTCCTTCCAATTCATCGACCCGGACTTTACTATCCAACCCATAACTTCATTATCCAATAAATTGAAACATCCTTCACCATACAGGTTTGGTTCCAGCCAAAATTGCTGCCAAACCATTGAATTTTTGGTGATATTGGGTGTGAATTCGTTGTGCCATATCGGGATTTGAATGATGGTGTACAACAACGCTGGATTACAGTTGATACGTTTCGAGAGGATCTCACAAAAATCAACTTTTCTATCTGAACTATCTTCGTTCAATTCATGACTCATTTTCAGTTTATAAGGATCAACTTTGTGTCAAATGAAGAATTTTGAGCTCAAACAGACCAAAAATGAAAAAATCTAAAAATAAAACTGAGCTATTAGTCACTAAGTATTTCACAACAATTTCGTCATAAACATCAACAACTCCAGTGGTAACGAGGTGATGAAATTTATGGGTCTAACAAATTCTCAAAAGAGTATATTTTTTGACATAGCTTATCGTTGTAATGTCAAAAATGTTCAAGTGTTGAGTATAGAATTGAAAGACATTTCAAATGAAGTATCACTCTACTATTACATCCATTTGATTGCTATGAGGGTGGCTGTGTGGAGAGGTGGCTGACAAGAGATTGATTTTTACGTAAAAATGTGGCCCTCTGACGAACATTCTGTCATATTTCACGATTTTTCACTGTCTCAATGTCAACTGATTTTCCTTTTCTTTGCAGATTATTATATCCATGATTCTAACAATCACATCAGAGGTTTTTGGAGGAGGACATACGGAGCACCCAGATGAGGGAGGGTATGGAACAGAAGATTACTATGTAAGTAACACCTCTATATATTATTTGAAATGAATATTCCCAAGACTGGACAATAACTATTCGTAGAAAGATTTTTCATTTCAAATATTCGTGGAGAAGTCCTTCCAGCTCCATTAGAGTAGTAGCATAATAGCAGAACAAATATGGTTGAAGCAAATCCAAGACCAATAGATAAAAGTCATCTATCAGTTCCTCAGTGGAAAAGGATAACCAATAGTACTTAGGCAATATAATAGATGAGAAGGACATTAAAATATACGGCTTATAGATATCTTCAGAGATATACTCACCTTGAAGGGAGAGAAAATGAGAAAATGACAGTGTCATTATTTTTCAGGTTGGAAGATAGTCGACTTCTGGAAGTTCTTCTTTACGTTACGCTGGCGCTAGTGGCTAGCTTCTTCAGAGGTTTATATAGATGTTCAACTAAGGATACAGATGTTCAACTAAGGATGTGTAAACCTCTGAAGAAGCTAGCTACTAGCACCAGCTAAACGTCAGGAAGAAATTCCAGGAGTCGACGGCCTTCAAACCTGAAAAATCGGCACAAACTCCAACAAATGTGATTATCGGATTTTCATTCATTTCAATCAATACATTCGACGAAGGTTATTCGGGTTTATCTGATGATAACACGGCATAATTTTTGCTTATACCTAATATCTTCTTGAATTATTATGTGAATATTATGAATTGAAATGTTATAACAGTATTGATTGTTGTGAAAAAGGAATTTTCCGGGATTTTTGGCCATGATCCGAAGGTTTTTATGTTAGACATCAGCTGATCTTCTTTGTGTACTTGTGAGGTACACAAAGAAGAAGATTTTAATGATGTTCATCGCCTCTTCTTTTCTATTGAACGTATGTTTTTTGAGCTTTTATTGCCTCTATATGTATTCTTGGATAGTAATTTTGAGCTTTTTTTGTTGTGAGCAAGTTCGGCTACAGCTGATTTGTCGGTTTGTCCAAGTCGATAATTTCTCTTTTGTTCAGAGAGAAGAGTACCCACACTTCTTTTTGTGGTTCCAAATGTAAACCAACCCGCAGCTACAAGTAATCCGGTTCTCTGGGGTATTGATTGTTGTGAAAAAGGTATTTTCCGGGATTTTTGGCCATGATCCGAAGGTTTTTATGTTAGACATCAGCTGATCTTCTTTGTGTATTTGTGAGGTACACAAAGAAGAAGATTTTAATGATGTTCATCGCCTCTTCTTTTCTATTGAACGTATGTTTTTTGAGCTTTTATTGCCTCTATATGTATTCTTGGATAGTAATTTTGAGCTTTTTTTGTTGTGAGCATGTTCGGCTACAGCTGATTTGTCGGTTTGTCCGAGTCGATAATTTCTCTTTTGTTCAGAGAGAAGAGTACCCACACTTCTTTTTGTGGTTCCAAATGTAAACCAACCCGCAGCTACAAGTAATCCGGTTCTCTGGGGTCCTTAGCTGACCTTAGACTTTCTCCGATAGTTTTTGTTGGCCTAAATATTGGGTTCACGTCGTGTTTCTTTAAGATTTTCCCAATAGGGTCTGTAACATTTTTAACTTAGGCAAGGATAACTTTTTCCTTGAGCAGCTTAACTGGGGTTACTTTGGTGTTCTCTCTCCTGGGTCGTTTTAATCAATCCCCTCTTGTAGGTGAGTGTTTTTGGTCAGGTACCTGTCGAAGTATGTTGGTTTCCTGTACACTCTGGGCCCAATATACCAACATCACGACTGTTCACGAGAACATTCAAGAAGGCTAGAGTCCCTTGAGTTTCTAGTTCCATTGTGAATGAGAGAGAGAAATATATAATAAAAATGCGTTTAGTTTATTTTCACTATCTTGCCATACCATGAAGTGTCATCAATATAACGCAGCCTACAATATGGTTTCGTGACCGCTTGCTCTAAGGCAGTCGTTCGAAATTTCCCACGAAAAAGTTTGCCGCCGCCCGGATTCAATAGCCTGCTCATCCCACTGGAAATGATTTGATGATAATCAATGAGCGATGAGGGCGGTATTGTGTTCTTGATCGGAACCATCGTGTATAAGAAGACCACGTTAGAGCTCACTAGTATGTCTTCAGGACCAAACTTCATATCTCTACTCTTTCAGATGACGTGTCCCGAGTTCCTAATAAATGACCCTGTATTTCCTATAAATGGCTTCAGAAGGGTTGTCAAATAATTTGGCCAGCTCATAAGTTGGGGAACCTATCGTATTTAGGATAGGTATAAGTGGCACTTTCCCTTAATGGATTTTTGGTAAGTCATATAGACGTGACGGAAAGGTTTCACATTTTTGTATGATCTTTTTCGTGTTCTCTCCAAGACTTGATGAACGGATACAAAGATTTGTTTTTCTCAAAATCCCGGGGGTCGAGTCTCGACTCAGTCTTTTATTTATCCCTGGATCGAGTGAGGCGACAATTTTCTCGTTGAAATCTTTGGTGTTCATCACGACGGTGACATTTCCTCTGTCAGTAGGCAATACTAATATATTCTCAATTGTATTAAGATTCTCCAGCGCCTGCCGTCGTTTTGTGTTGGCCTTCTGTGTATTGACTGTATATACATGAACAAACATAGTCAAGAGTTTCGATTTAATGCCCAAACACACGCCACTGGAGATAGAAAACCACCTGAACGATCAAAAATTCTTTTGTTTGCGATACAAAAGGTCGACTGGGTGAAGTACCGTGCGGTATAGCCACTGATAAACCTGACTATACCAGTATAAACAATTTTTTCAGAAGTCATTTATATTGAATTTTCGGGGTTGATATTTCAGTTCGGTCTTCATCAAACTTGAACGAATTTTCTGCTGCTCTGGGTTAATTTTTTTCGCAGACTGGAAGGTAAGAGGTCAAAAGCCAGAAACAAAAACAAGAAACCTTCTTCTCGTAGAGAGCCTGAATTACAAACGAATTTTTCCTGTTTCAGTCCGAGCCGCAATACGCATTCAACTACGGCGTCCACGACCCCACCACCGGAGACGTGAAGAGCCAGAAAGAAGTAAGGGACGGCGACGTCGTCAAAGGGCAGTACTCCCTCGTGGAACCCGACGGTTCCGTCCGCACCGTCGACTACGTCGCCGATTCAGTGAATGGATTCAACGCCGTGGTCTCGAAGAGCGGGCCATCTGTCCACGCGGCTGGCGAACCAGTCGTCGTGAAGCAGGTGGTTCCTGCAGTCGACCATGTGGTACCGACATCGTACCGGCAAGTGGTACCGACGTACGTTAAACAGGTGGTGCCGGTGGTTCATCCGTACTACCACAAGCGGCTTCTGGCGCAACCTGTAATCAAGTACACGTCGCCGTTGGGTAAGTGTCTCACAGATGTCGCCACATATACAGAGACAAAGAATAGACGCAGCCATGCTTGTCAAAAGTGAAATTTTGGCAACAAAAATCCGCTACAAATTGAAATATTTGATCTTCATTGCGAAACAGATAAATTATAGAATCGCAGAAGATATGCCACTGTGAAATATGTCATCTTCAATATTCATCGGTTTCATACAAGATGTATATAAATCTCGGTGTTTTACCGATTCACGTTTGTTCTGTTAAGAACTTTTGAAGTAAACAATGATATTGATACAACTTTGTGCACATGTTCATAGATGGTGCAAGAATCGAAATCTATTGCGCCTGTTTTGTTCAGATCTTTAATCTATGGACCATAGTGTAGAACATATCTTTCACTCAATATCAGTTAATTCCCAAATGTGAATAACATTGAGAATAGAAGGGCTAACTTGACAGTGTCAAGCAGTTTTTTGCCTCACATTCGCATAAGATGTGTAGAGCTGTTTCTATCCCTTCGTTGCATAATCTGCAGCTGAGGTCTCCGTTGTACAGCCCCATTTCATTCAGGTGTCCTCTAAGCGGACAATAACCGGTTAGTAACCCTGTAATTATTCTGAGCCGATCCCAACTTTTCTCGGACGGTAACCTAATTAAGGTTCTACTGTGTTTGTTGCCAGGTACTTTTGTCCAGTACTCTGTGTGCTTCTTATTGGTCCATGTCCTAATCTGGTTTCGTATAAATGATTTTGGTACCCCAAGAGCTGGTCCAGGACCTATATATGAATTTGATGATCCGCGTCTAGCGCATTCATCAGCTTTATCATTACCTGTGATTCCTGAATGCCCTGGCACCCAGTACAATTTGTTCCTGTTTGCAAGTTCATTCAGTTCTTCATGGCATTCCCAGACAAGTTTTGATGTCACCTTCGGGTTTGTCAGAGCCCCTAGTGCGCTCTTGTTGCCTGTAAAAATATTGATCCGCTCATTTCTTTGAGGTCTCAATTTAATAAGCTTTGCATACTGCAAGATAGCATACACTTCCTCCTGAAAGACAGATGTGTATAGTCCTAGCGGATAGCTGTAGTTTAGATTTCTATCCGCTCGGTATATTCCAGCTCCCGCTCCATGTTTGGTCTTCGATCCATTTGTATACCAGGTGTTTTTTCCAAACATGTTTTCGGAATGATTTATGGTCTGCCTCTCTTCACAGCTTATGATTTTGGCCGTGAAGTTTGTGTTAAAGGTATACTTCGGTGTCATGTGGTCCGTGCACAAATTCAATATGTGCTCCTCCACTCGTTCCGAAATTTCTGTTCGGTCCGATCTTTTGTAGTTCGGTGAGTTTTCCAGTCTGAAATGGCCCATCCTGGCCTCCCCCATTATCAAAAAGTGTAAAGGAGGTAGATTCAGGAGTGTCTCCAATGCAGCTTTTGGGGTAGTTCTCATTGCTCCCGTCATTCCCAAATATGCAAGTCTTTGCACCTTGCCTAGTTTGTTGATGGCGGTCGCCTGCTTCATCTTTGGCCACCAGACCAGAGATGCGTATGTTATCATGGGTTTAACCACTATCTTGTATAGCCAATATACCATGTCTGGTTTTAGCCCCCATGTTTTTCCATAGGTGCGTCTGGCGAGCATCAGTGCTACCTCCGCTTTCCTCTTCATCCTGCCAAGTGTTGGTTCCAGGTCAGGTAATCTAGGATTACTCCCAGATATTTAACCTCCCCCGACACCTGTATTTCTTCACCTCGAAGTTTTAGAGGTCCGAGACCCTCCGTTTTAGTCCTCTTGGTGAATGCTACTATGGTCGATTTGGATGGGCTTATGTTAAGACCTTCTTCTTCGGTCCATCTTGTTATAATGTTCAGGGCCTACTGGATGCATCCCTCCACTACATTATTATATTTACCCTGGACTGAGATGACTAAGTCGTCTGCATAGCCCAGTGCTTTATACCCATTATGGTCCAAGAGACATAGTAGCTCGTCCTTTACAAGGTTCCATAACAGAGGGGATAGAACCCCTCCTGAGGACAGCCCCTTGCTACCCGTGCCACGACCGTTTTCTCCATAATGGTTGTATAACATGCAGTCTATCCATCTACAACTTGCCTTATACACTTGAAGTGTACTCAGCACCTCTTTGAAATGTAAGTTGAAATTCATGCATCTCTTTTACATTTCCTCAGCAATAGTGCTATAGGGTTTTGACTTCAGATATGGTTGCCTGGAATAATTCATTTCAACTTTTCAAATATATCTTCTCTAAAAACCACCAAATGTTCTCAAAAAAAGTAAAAGAAGGTTCAGAGCTTGTTACGCTTTTCCCGTGAGTTTGACAGTAATTGAATACACTGTACAGATAAACTCTGCTTTATTCCACTGCTACACTGACACTCCAACTGAAACTTCAGACTGATTCTCAAATGTATATTGCCTTATTAGAACTTCGTACAGCATTTTCAACTAGACTTCCTCGATCTGCGTTCTGGTAGTGTTTATATATCGTAATGGAAGCCGATGGGGATGTCCCTGTAAGTCTCTCTAAGCGACGCGACATCTAAAACGATCGCGAAGCGCAAGTCTAGTTGAGCGAGACCTTGGCCAAGTCACAATCGATGGACGAAGACCAGTGGCGCCCGGCGTTTTTTTTTCAGGGGATGATTTACAAAATGCTGATAAAATTCTTATAATACGGGAAGACTACTCGAGCCCTATCAGAAGGCTGAGGAAATATGATTTTACAAATATGTATACAGGGTAAGCCAGTAAAGACAAAACAAGGCCAATTTCTCATAAATGGCATTCGGAAAAAACTCGCTCGTACCTGTCGGTTTTTATTTCTAGGGAAAACTATTTTGGGTCTATTGTCAACCTTGTCACTTCCACCCCCTCGATGGGGTGAAATTGAACCCTCAAGTCTTGAATGGTATCGTAAGTCGAGCCAAGTCAAAACGCTTCCCACTTTCTAAATTTGATTCAGTAGTTTTCCAGACAAAAACTCCATTAGAAAATTCAGCAACGGACGAGTTCAAAGCATCAACGACCAAAAAACGCGGAAATAACTTTGAATCAACTGTTATGTTACTCAGAGAACATAAAAAGGCATATGTAAAAGAATCCAAGTTGACAGAAAAGTCTCACACATCTTACTCATTTGAAGTGACCAGTTTCCTGATTGAATTGAGTAATTTCTAAACGATTCTAGCACTTTTTTTCTTATGGAGGCTATCCTGATCTTCTTAAAATCGCACTATTGATTCCGATATTGAAAAGTGGCGATTGCACTAACATAGAGAATTATCGCCCCATATAGATTATCAGCATCTTCTCTAAAATCTTTGAATAGATTATATCGCGCAGAATAAATGACCTGGAAAGATTCGACTTGATGACCAAGTGCCAACATGGCTTTCGAAAAAATCATTCAACGGAAACAGCAACACTCATCCATGATTCAATCAATGAGTTGTTGTGGGACTTTTTTTCGACTCAAGTAGAGCTCTCGATACTCTGAGTATTGAAGTAATTTCTAAAAAACTCATCACCATTGGTACCAAAGGCAATATCAATAGGCTCATCGTATCCTTCTTAACTAATCAATATTTCAAAGTGAAACAGAATAATACATTATCTGACGAGTATTCTGTTACAAAATGAACACCGCAGAGTAGTATTCTTGGTCCACTGATATTTTTACTGTATGTCAATGATCTTCCTGATAACATAAGTTATGGTAATGTGTACCTTTATGCAGAAGATACGTCTATCATCTTATCGAGCAAAACACCGGATGTAGTAAGTAGGTAGGTAGGTCAACAACAATCTGCTCTTAATATTCCCTTCTTCCGCAGGATCCAGTCCTCTCTACTCGGGAATAGTACTTTATACAGTTCGTAGTTGACAGTTGGAGGCATAAAGTCAGAGGTCATTTCCAGAATGCTGTGACTTTCAATGTCAACCAACATTCTGTTATACTCTGCATTGAATTGATTTGTGCAATTGGCAATGTGCACAAGTCTGTATGCAGTCCATCTAGCCTCTCTTTCCAGAAAAATGTGGAGAGGAGGTAGATCTAGAAGGATCTCCATGGCCGCTGACGGTGTGGTACTGATGGCACCACTGATAGTCAGACAAGCCTGTCTCTGTAAGCCAGAGAGTTTCGCTTGGGCCGTTGCACTATACGTGATCATTGGTCTGACAATAATCACATAATTCCAATGAATTTGTTTGGAACGTAAACGCCAAGTTTTACCACAAATCCTTCGACATGTCCATAGAGACAGTCTGGCTTTGTGTAAAACTTTTTTCAAGTGAGTGTTCCAGGTGAGTCTTTTATCAAGGACGATGCCAAGATATTTCACCTCCGTTCCAAATGGAATAACCACACCATTGAGAGAAAGTGGCGTTAGATCGGCCAATTTCCTTCTCTTGGTGAAGGGGATTAACACAGTTTTGCTGGGGTTGACAGACATCTGCTCCCTCAGGCACCAACTGTGAACAACGTCCAACG